AAAACCTATGATTATGAAAAAAACTGATATTTTTAGATTTCTATAAATCAAATGTTGCCACATTAATTGATGACAATCGCGTCCTACTCACAGTTAGTCTAGCGCACGCAAAAAAATTCCCCCTTCGTCACTTCAATGGAAACTGTTGATTCTAGAAAGAATGAATATTCGCCCGATTGCGTGCGACGTATACTGAATTGTAAGACAGGAAGTAGCTGCTTACGACACAGGTATTCGTTAAAGAGCATTTTGGTATCCACCGATCACTGAAAGGTTTTCAAATTTGTATCTCTGACGTTTTTCTTTTAAATAATCACGCGACCATTCAGAAATTTCAAGGTTGCAGAATCATCATATGTTTTACCTAAAACGCCACACTCCTTGGATGCTATCTGTCGTCATTTGTGGAATTGCGTGAGTTCGAAAATTACCTACAACTGGTAGAGAATGTGACAAACGGTTAAATGAACCTTTACTATTTTTTATTTGAGTCGAGTAGGAAGTCGCAGCCGAAAATTACTCACTATTTGTACTGCTGCATGCACATTGCAGTTTGTCCCGTACACCGTTACTGCTATGAATAATAATGTTAGTTTTAATAATAGTAGTTTTGGCGGGGGTATTCTACGAAAGCACAAAACGCACTCACATTTAACACTAGAACTGTTGCCAACAAAAAAAAAATTGTGAAAGTCACAGCTGTGAAAACCTGCGTCTTAAAATTAAAACTTTAGTACTGTTAACTACTAGTTGGAGGCTATTACCACACAAAACACATATACTATGCAAGAATTTTAAGCAAATGACGTAGTGGCAAATTAATTACATAGTCGACTTGTGTGGAAAAATTGATCGAAGGTTATTTCGACAGAATTTCCCTCGCTCTTGAAGTATAATACAATAAATACAGATTTTTCGAAAAATTATATTTTTTTTTACTGTATTCCCAAAATTTTTTGAGTCACCTGTATCAGTAATTCTGAAAACTATGAATGCATTGATTAACCATAAGCATACATATAATATTTAGCACATTTCAGAGAGGATTTATTCGGCAAAATTTTAAGATGACGTCATCAATTTTTGTAGGGGAGGATAAATAAATAAATAAATTTTGATTAACAATTTACCATGACTACGATAACCTTAAAACGTTTGCAAGACTTTAGAGCATTGGGTTTTGCAGTTTCAAAGTTAAATTGCAAAATGTTTTTGTGCAACTTTTTTTTTTTTCCAAAAAGCTGGTTATCAAGGGTCAAAACTCAACACGGATTCATACTTATTACACATTGCGGGTATTTTCACGAGCACTTAAAGAATTTTCAAAATGTTTACACGATTAAAAACTTCACTGAACTGTCATTTTTACAAGGTACTATCACACATGTTGACTTTAAAAAATGTAGAACCTTTGAAGTTTGCAAAAATTTCTTCACAATGTAGAATATCTGAACCTTTCGAAAAATGTCCACGATTTTTACGCCTGTGTTAAGTGAATCTTTTAAGTGCATTAATTTGTCAAAATTGTGTGCTCTATATGTTGGTCTTCGAAAATCGATTAAAACTTTTTTTTAATGTACCGTTGGAGTAAGTCAAGGCTACACGCCAAGTCCCACAATCTTTACAATACATTTAAACTGCAAATACCGCAAATTCCTCAAATTCCAACATACAATTTCTCGCAGCCATAAATAATACCTCCCCACCCATCGAAACTAATTATCCTTTTAAATAATTCATTACAACTAAATTGATTAATTGCCGGTTGCGTCAAATATAATAAAAAATAAAATACACCGCGATACACATAATTATTGTTATTAATGATACGAATTCATAACGTTTTAGCAACGACAAACCAAGTTCACGTTCGAGCCAATTAATAATAACAGAATCGTATTAATTTTTATTGACAAGTCACAACCCAACACGTGACGATACTAACAAAAACGTGCCAATAATCAAAAACTGATTTATACAACCATCAGGTTTAATTACAACCATCTACAAATTCTCCATCAAAAGCTTCCGTTTGACGCGACTAATTGAGCCCGCAATTAAAAACGACAGAACTGGAACCAGACAATTAAAAAAAAAACGAAAAATCTTCCTCTGTCCATAAAATCTTATCGCTTGGACGGAAACCTAATACTGTACAGCGATAATACACATCGACCACAAAATTATTAACTACATGAAAAGTGATAGTCACTCGCCTAGTAACTAATTATTCCCTCAAAACAACAAAAAGCCGAATCAACCAAAAAAAAATCGACTCTCTCCAGCAAAGGTATTCTTTTATTCATTTCCAGCACGTACGTGCTTTCGTAGCAGCCGAGAGAGAGCAGAAAAAATGGTTTCGAAAAGTGTCACGTGACACTCGATTGACGTCAATGATGACCTCCGAGTTCCTAACAGTTGGATATGGTCGGTTTCTGCTCCAAATCCGAAGACCTTCCGTGGCTGGAGATTAACACGCAAGGTGGAGGAGGAAAACAACACGAAAACAAAAAGCCAAAAATTACGAAAACGACAAAACGAGGCGAAAAAATCGAAGGCCGCTTGAATCACCGAATTCCGAATTGTAACAAAAGTAATTAAATTAAGCCGCATGATCATGAGTCACTACACTAGCTACTCAAGTACTTTTTTCATAATAAAGGCAATTCGTACGCGTGACAGCTATGGACCGGTTTCGCCCTCGGACGCTCATCAGCGCAATTAATCGTACGGAGTGATTGAGAAAACATCTTGGACAATTAGCTGAAAAGTGCAAAACACGGTAATAGGTATGGGTGCAATGTTTACAATAATAATTGGCGAGAAAAAACGTACAATAACAAATAATCAAAAGTCATTATCGAGCGACGCTGTCGCTTACGCACTTTACGGAAAAAATGACCATCAGTCTGGTTGAAATCGGTCGCGTGTGGTGCAAATTTCACTTTTCGAGTAATTTCTGTGTTGATAGATTGGTGATCGGCGTTCTTGTTAGTGGCGCCATCATGCGTTTACTCTTCCAACTCTAACGCGGAATGTTAGTCACTGTTACAGACTAATTGTGTGAAACAAGCGTGCAACAATTGAATTACCTTTTGATTCTCTTTAAATTTGCTTCTTCTACTTTTTGATGAGCGCTTCTCTCCGGAAAGAAACTGTAACACAAAAAAGAGAATTATCGTAATCACTGGTCGGAGTAGTAGACCTTGAAAATTAAAAATCTCATCTCTGACAATCCACGCCTGTTATATCACAAACTTGATTCACACGAAGGGGAAAATAAAGATAACAATTCTAGTACTTATATTTCCACTTATACAAAATTACAAAATCGTTTCTATATTAGTATCACATTGAAAAAAATATTATCTATGTAGCAGTCTAAAATTCTCGATATTGTTATCATCGACATACAACTCGTTCCCGCCCTTCAACTTACTAATAATTACTCCACAAATATTAGTTCTATACAAAATTTCAAACACAATAAAAACACAAAGTAGGGCAAACGCAAAAATGGCGAACGCTCGCAATGACTGAATTGAGTTATTTAACCCCTCATTACTGTGTTTGATCTTTCTCTCCACGTACCGTTCGAGCTCGTCTTTGCTCACCCAAGTCACATTATTTTTCACCGTGGTCGCAGTAACGCCCTCTGTCGTACCCACAGAGGAAAACCGCGAAACTTCACTACACGCAATCCCATGAACGCTAACAGTTGAAAAATTCATGGAGGGAAATTTGACTTTAGAATCATTCAAATCGCGAATTATCGCCTCCAAGTCGTTACAAAACCATGGATTATTATTCAAATCGAGCACCTCCAGTTGGGGCAAATGTCTCCTAATAGCAACCGTATTCAACATACTCAGAGAATTAAAACTTAAATTCAAACTCTTCACTGCGAAAAACGAAAAGTTGTAACTCGGGTCAAAACGGTTGAGACTATTTCCTGCTAGTTCTAGATGTTGCAATTTACCCAAGCCGTGCCATTTTTCAGGTGATGCATCCCAGAGTTTGTTCCATGATAAAATCAAAGTCCCCAAATTAGGAACCGGTTCGAACAACTCATCAAAAACCGTCCTGATAAAATTTCGTCCTAAATTCAAATACTCCAAACGTGTGAGATTAGTAAAAGCCAAGACTTCCACAGTTTTAATGCGATTGTTGGAAAGATTCAAAGTCTGCAAATTTAGTAAGTCGGAAAAAGTTAAATCTTTTAAAATTTCGATTCGGTTGGAGCTTAAATCCAAAACTTCTAACTTTTCCAAGTTCTGAAAAACATTTCTTGTCAGTTTGGTGGTGATGTTGTTGTGATCTAGGTGGAGTTGTCGGAGACACGTCAACGAAATAAACGCTCCTTCGTGGACTTCTTTAATTTGTTTGCCGCTCAACTTTAACGAGATGATTGAGTGGGAGTCCTCAGAAATGAAATTGTTTTTTGAAAGTTTATCAATTGAGTTGAACGTGAATTCAACGTTGCTGCCTTCCCAGTTTCCTCGTAAAGGACTGAACGGTATCTTGTTACCTTGATAGTGCTCGATAGTGTCAAAAAATCTGGTTTTTTGCTCATGGGGTATAGCACATTCCATGGCTTCCGTAACATGGTGGGTGCACACTATCGATACGATAATCACAAAGACGGCCCACCGTGTCATCTGAAAACGAATTAAAAAATTATTTCACAAGGTTTAATCGACCATTGTTCTTAGTTTAGCGTTGTGGTTGGCACTAATTAAAAAATATACGACAAGAAAACGTACCTTCGGTGTTCAACTACGTCGTTCGTTGCACTGATACAACTGCATGTCAGCTGGTCGCTTATCAATTTGCCAATGACCAGAGTCCTGTTTATGTTATTATCATGAAAATACACTTTCTGTTATGTGTAATTAAACGACTCGATAATAGATGGTGTTTACATACAAAGATGAGATGAATTTGTTTACGCAAAGATGAATCAGTAATATCTCATTCAGGATGTGCAAGTGATAAGTAGATCAAAGCAAATAATGTGCTTTCTTTGAAACGACGAGTTTAATAACCCGTGCAAAAGGGTACAGCTAACACAATATGTTGCTTGTGGAAGTGACGTTGCATATGGTGGATATAATAACAGCGACATTGTGAGTGTACCTGCTGCTTACAAGATCCCGAAAAAGCTCAAATTGAAATAAATCGGTTTCGGTCGAAGCAGACGGTACTAAATAGCTTGACCCTAAAAACGGTTTACATTTAAATCATCGTTTCCGCTTATGAGTTCTGGTTTATATTTAAAGATTTATGAAACACAAAGTTGTACGTTGGATGTGTAACTGTGAATATGTGAGTTTTTCTTTGATATAAAACATGTTCCTGAAATAGGTTTAGATCTTGCTTGGCCTCTATTTAATGTCTGGGTATGCTGAAATATTTTAATTTTAATCCATAAATAAAAGAACTGTAAGTTGAACCTTCCAGTGCACGTTCTTCAGTTTTCAAAATCGCAATAAACTACTCCTGTGTATATAAAGAATAGGAAATGCCCCTAACCCAATTCAAGAAATAAATATGGACGTTTTGAGGAGGAATTGATGTAAAACCGGAATCGTTACTTATTTTTGAATGTCCTACATTTACTACAGGTAGCAAATCGCAGCAACATGGCGCCTCAAATGCTTTATAACGACCTTCGGGTTTTACGTATAATGAATTACACCGATATCATGCAGGTGTCTCTTCACTAAAGAATACACTGACATTTGTTTTTTAGATAAAGGATCAACAAACCGAGAAATCCGAAGAATTACAGACAATTGGTGACCTTCTGGTCAGAGGAAAAGTTGAAGAGATAAAATAAAAATTTACTTATCTCCATCGTTAATAACAAATTCGGGGTAACTACTTCAAGCTATTTCTACGAATTCGTCACTACTTCTTATCACCTGAAAAGATTAACAACCATTTTAACAATGAAAGATCACCAGATAATAGCACCTGGAAAACTTCGTGACCTTAACAGACATATCACCAATAAGACGAAATAACACACAAAAACGTTGTCAAAATAACACAAAAACAAAACGTCCTTCTGTGAAACAAACTAAGTTAATGTCTTGTACGAAAAAACAAACCATGGTCACAAAATTTCATACAAGTTCTCCAAAATAAAGTCAGCAAAACGTTTGCGAACTTGCAATTTTTCTTTCCGTGCAACGAATTTTAACTTACGCAAATTTTCAACGATTACGCTTACCTTTAGTCGAAAATATTTGGGTTAAAGTAACACGGATCACGCTCATGACAGCTATCAATCGGGAGGCAAAATACAAAGCACCAATATAAACAACAACGCCTAAAGTAGTAACCCGTGTATTTACTTGTTATTTTTTTATTTACGTAGATTGATACAATAGTAGACACCACACACGATTCCGCAACATGTTATTTAAATGCTAAGCCACGTACAAGTAAGTGAATATTAATACATTTCGCTGATTTATCAAGGTTACATTTTTCTCTCGGCATATTCCATACTCTGTCTACAACAAATTATCAATTCCGACGTTGCTAAACACCAACAACCGAAAAACAACCTCCCTATTATTTGCACCGTCCTCCTCGACCACAGGAAAACAATAACACGCCGCATTTTTACCGCCTCATTACGACTTTCACAAGAAAAACATTAAGCAAACCAGGAACTCGTGACGTAAGAAAAATAAATACAAATTACTTTTTCGTTCTACTGTAACTAAATGGCATGTAATTTCTTACATTAACAATTAATACAACGATAAGCGTTTTAATTAACAACATTTATGCTAATAATTGCGCCAGGTCTAATTGTGATGCATGTGAGCATCTTCGGGATCAACACTTCGAAAAGAAAAATAACTTGCTTGTCATCGCAATACCAAATGGGTTGTCTTCCATTTGAGATCTCGCAGAATCGATAGTATGGTAAACCGTGAGCGCTTGGTCACCGTAAAAAGGTCAAGAGAATGTTGTGACGCAAATGAAAATGATTGTCGTGTCAAATGCCTAAGCAATTGTAATCGATTCAATTGGGTAGCATCCAATTGTTGAAAGTATAAATAGTTGATGGTGATTGTACACGGTGAACACACTTTCCGCGATTACCTCTTTTGGGATTTTCCTGCGACGAAGTCTGTCAGGTGTATGCAGAACTGCAACCAGTGTTTCCAGTTCTCTGAAGTCGCGCAAAAATCGGAAATTTCAGGTCATTCAACTTTGTGGGCAATTTTATTTTTTAATTCCCAGGCGATAGCCAAAAGGTTTGTAAGGAACTACCGAATCGAATACTCTGCTATTTGAAAGTACTTACGATTATATGCAGCCAAAATGTGTCCACCCAGTTAAAAAAATCAAAATAAAATAAAATTTTAACAGTTATAGGATGGAACTAAAATTTATTTATTATCCCCTCTGAAAATTTGATGACGTCAATGCAAAAACTTATTAGTACCACTAAATGGTTTTTTTAGTGTCTAGTTCTTTTTTACTGAGACGATTTAAACATTTTCACGACCTTTGAAAAAGCAATGTTTCTGTAAATCTTGGCCTTTGCCCCATTTTACAAGATTCTAACGGATGATGCTAACGGAAATACTCCACAATTTTATGATTTAAATATTTATAGATAGATTGTCCTTCACAGATTGTTTCATTTGACTTTTAATTTTAATAAAATCATTCGTTTTTGGTTTTGAAATGCGCCGCTGTACCCTAGATAGAGTAGTAGACTTTGTTCATGAAAACTGCTTCTACATTCTATCGGTTTCGAAATCTAGAACTACCGGACAAACAACATAATATCACCATTAAATCACGTGATTAAAAATTGCGGAAAATAATCGTTAAACAACATTATATATAGCGCATAGACTTTGAATAATTGGAACACGTTTCCACCACCTGACAATACCAAAACAAACACATCTATAATTACTCCTAAATCCTACCGTTGATATGAAGCAGTCCAATAAGGGTGTGTTATCTGATCTTTTCGTCCCATCGCTGCCTCCTCCCACTACATTCTTCTCCTCCTAGAACAAAAACCTCCATCACAATCTTAACCCATTTCCAACAATAACAATCACTCGACAATTTCACGAAAACGTTTACGTAAATAGATGCAACAGATCCGGATTTCTTTGCACTCGATGTTTGAAGTTTCACAAATAATTGACGTGGCTCGATAAGCAAACCCATTTTCAAGCAAATTGACCCGATTAACCGATAAGATAAACACACTTAAGGAAAAAAATCGCTTTTCAAAAATGTTTCCAAAAAGCGTGCGTCACTCAGAGTCATCGTGACGGAATACTAATGCATTATTTATTTATATGAAAAAGATTTGTTTTCATTAGTGTGGTAAAATAATGACTACAAATTTTCGACTATTTATTGTATTCAACAACGTGCTAAATTGTGCGGTTTATACTCAAGCCCGAAAAAATTGTTTACGCTAGGTTTACGCAAAAAAACATAATATGGATACGAAGAACAAAAGGATAATTATCATATTCGGTGAACGATGCGAAAATTCGCTGTTTCGAGACATCAGGGTTTTAATGTGTATCCTTGTTTGGATGCTGCTTTGGATAGGTTTAATTGTTTTTGTTCCAAGTAAGATGAAGCAATGTTTTTCATAACGCAAGCTTTCCTTTTAAAGCTAGAGGAAAAAATAAAACGTAGAAAACAATGCCATATAGTTATGAATCGTTGTTTGGATAGCTTCAAAGTAAATTATGGGATTACCGTTATCTTGTCATGTGGCATGTGCTGGTTTTATTTTTGATTGTCCAAAATGGAATGAATTATGCGACATTTCGTTAAACGTTATGATTTTTTGTACTGTCATTCATTGTATTATTTATCATATAAAAAATGTGCTTGATATGAGTACATTTCCATTAGCATAAATTTAGCTGAGTGATGACAGAGGTTATTAATTTCGCGGCATTGATCGCACATCTTTTTGCAGTGTTATTTTAACATCCACATTGGAACCAGATAAACAGCGTTTCCAACAATCATGATCAAAAATACCCGAAGATGTTTCGTGGGTGTTAATTAAAATTTTGGGCTGTATTTGACGTAGATTTATTAGTTAGTCCTTGCAGGTTACTTGATTATGTACCTAGTAAAACCAACGCTAATTAAACGTTTAATTTAAGAAAGTAGTCCGTCTGTAAGAGTAATAAAAAAACACCATTGTTACTGGAGTGCTTAAGTTTTTATATCTTAATAAAGTTTACAACTTGACTGCAGTAATAAAAATTTCGAAGGTCCAAACAATTACAAAAAAAAACAAAAGCAAAACATTTGAATTGCTTGTCGGGCGTAAGTTAGGGTAGTATTGTAATAGTAATAACCAAATTTGTATGTTGATAATCTGATGACGTCTCTTAAAATTTGTCTACAAAAATTCTCTTTAAAGTTTACAAAATAATACGCTCCTACTTCTGGTCTATAAATCTGCCTTTATTTTTTACCTTCGTCGTCTAGATTTTTGGGACAACACTGAAAATTTTACAAAAAATTTAAAAATTCATCTTAGACAATAGGGGCAATTCTGAATCAAACTTGTTATACAGGGTGGACTATTTAATAAACTAAAATTAAATTTTCATCTCAGGAAATAAAATAAACCAATGAAATTCAAAAACGGAGGTGGGTGGGATAGTTTTACTTTTATTGTCTAGATTCCACTATTTTTCATTATAAAATCCAATTTTTGTCCAATAAAATCAGTAATAAAAAAAATCTGGATGGGCGAGACTATTTTAAGGTTTTTCTTATTCGTAGATTCGACCACTTGACAAAATAAAATTAACTTTTCATCTCAGTAAATAAATAAGCCAATGAAATTCAAAAACGGAGATGGGTGGGGTTAGTTTTACCTTTTTTGTCTAAATTTCTTTGTTTTTCAATATAAAATCCACTATTCCACCAATAAAATGAATTATCACAAAGAAAACAGGGTGGGTGGGGGGGGGGGGAACTTTGATTTTCTTTTAAGGGTAGAATTGGACAATTTGATAAACTAAAATTCAATTTTCATCTCTTACAGTAAATAAAATAAGCCAATGAAATTCAAAAACCAATGACCAATAAAATAAGTGATGAAAAAAAAAGGTGATACATGAGATTTAAGCGTAGATCTAATCACCGACAATACAAAGTTCAATTTTCATGTCAATTAAATTCAGAGTGGGTGAGCTTAGTTTTCCTTTTGTGTTGTTGTATAATGTCAAATGTCAAACATCAAATCACACACACAAAATAAAGCAAAACATTATTTTTATATAGATATAGAAGAATTTCGCCTTCAGGGTTAAAATTGAACAGGGAGCGTAATTAATTTGGTTCGAGATTATTCTAGAAGAATTATGTCTAGAAATCTGAAATTATAGACTTCTGATTTATTTGTAGAGCTAGAACTGCAGAACGAAATCAAAACTTCGATAGAATTTTAGAAGAGTTGGAAGAATTTATAGACGAATTCTACTCGAAAAAGAGAATATTTAGTTAATTTCGGTTAGAGACAGTTTTTCTGTCCGAAAAGTGACTGTTTTAATTTCGGATAAATTTAAATTTGGTGTTTTGTTACTGGATGAACTTGAAAAAATCTTTTGAACTTTTAATGTTTTACTTTTTACAAATCTGAAAAAGTCTTGAGTGTTTTTTCTTATAATAATTTAAATCCATCTTATTTTGGAAGGTACTAGTACCGCCCACCCACCCTCTCGTTTCTTAGAGGGTATGTCATTTGCCAAAGTCAGTCTTATCTTAGCAAGTGGTACCCTGTATTTAAAGCGTGTTAAACTGCAAATTTCCAAAGTAACGAGTTAAATTCGTAAATCTGATTGTCTGTTTATTTTTTAACAACCTTTAAATTTTAACAGGTTTGATTCAGAACTGGCCCTAATAAATACAAAACAGACTCCTATTTAATCTTGCCGTACATTTAAGCTTAGATTTGTCTGGTTGATTACATCATTTAAAAATTTTACTTAGTAGTTGTAACTAATATATGCGTAATTGCGTATGAACAAAATTTACAAAATCTACTCTTACAAGTCTTACAATACCGGGTGTCTGGAAAATGACACATTAGCTCTTCAGTACGTTATAGGTATGGGGGTCTCAGGAGTCCCAACAAAATAATAACAAAATTAATTTACGAGCTTGTGATGTTTCCAAATTTTGATCATTTTTTGTAAAACTTAGTCATCGGTACTAAGATAAAACTAATTTTGGCAGATGACATACCCTTTAAGAGAAAAAAGGGTGGGGGGGCGGGGCTAGTAGCTGCAAGATAAGACTGATTTTGGCAAATGAGATACAGTCTGTCTGTTTTAATAATTCCATAGTCTTGTAAAATCGTAACACATAGGTAATACTTCTCAAACGTTACTATTTTTGTCTCACTTTCTCTCATTGCGGTTGAGATGGTACGTATTGCCTAGCATTTTAGGGACGGTCCTAAAGATCTACCGCAATGTTCGTACAAAGCAGAACTTTTCAAACAAAGAAATACTGTTTTGTGGAACTTGAGATGAGAAACAGATGTTTAATGAAACAGATGAAATGTAAATTTTAAGTTAGTGTTATGTTTAATTTTCAGAACTACTTATTTTAAAAACTTTTACTCACTTTTTTTTGTTTGTTGTATATTATAAATTATTATAAACCTAGCAACAATATATAACTGTTTGAGAACCTCTGTCAAAATTTGGGTTTCATTCCGACAGGCTGAGCTATGTGTTTTCTCTCTCGTACATCCGCTTAAGTTAAAATGATATAGCGCTTTGTTGTTCTTGTTTCTCACGGCATAAGGCAAAGTATCAGTGGTGAAAAAAAGAGAGAATGAGTTTTACGATATCATGGACAAATTAAAACAGAAGTACTGTACCCTCTAAGAAAAGTGAGGCTGAGTGGGCGGGGCTAGTAGCTGCTAAGATAAGACTGATTTTGGCAAATGAAATACCCTCTAAGAAAAGAGAGGGCGGGTGGGTGGGGCTAGTGCCTGCTAAAATAAGCCCAATTTTGGCAGTTGACATACCCTCTAAGAAAAGAGAGGGTGGGTGCGTGCCTCTAGAACCTGTTAACATTGATTTTGGCAAATGAGATAGTCTCTAAAAATATAGAGGGCGGGCGGGTGGGGCTAGTACCTGCTAAGATCAGACTGATTTTGGCAAATGACATACCCTCTAAGAAAACAGAGGGTGGGTGGGCGAGGTTAGTACCTACTATGATAAGACTGATTTTGGCAACTGAGGTACCCTTTAAGAGA